CAGTCAGTCATACAAAGAAACATAAGATCTGTCATAAATTTAAACTGATTTAAATTCTTAGATAATTTCAGCAATATAATAGTCTAAAATTAACAAGATGAATATGAAGATATAAAGGTTGTTAATTTTACCAGACTGTGCAAGATCCTTAGATTATTTGAAAGTTAGAGATTAAGATCGTTCGATACTGGCCCAGTTGTCTAGAGGTTCAGTATTTGTGCGAAAGACTGAAGGTCCAAGTTTCGAATCTTGCAGATAGCAGGAATCGCGGATGCTCACTGCCACTGATGAGTCCCATACCAGGACGAAACGGCCATGTTTCAGTGCTTCCAGGTTTGTAATGGTGGTCTAACAATGATTGATTACTTATTCCGAATCGGTGAGGTTTGTTTTATTATCACGTGTCTTAATTAATCTAATCTTTAGTCGTACAATGGGAGCCCATCATATATAGTTAGATGAACAAAATACTTAATACTTCTTCATTGAGAGTTTGCAGATAGTTTTTATAAAAAAATAAAATCAGTATATCGGTTCTTGGAAAAAAAATCATCTTGAAACTAAACTTAACTTTTTTTTCAGACAATCTTTAATTTTTAATGCTAATAATAAACTACCTATTACAGATTAAATAATTTTTATATGAAGCCATGATGTGTGTGGTAGAAGAAATGTCAGAAATGTATATACATTTTTAGATTTATATACTATCAGTTAGAAAGGAAATTACAAATAAAAAAAACTAACTGGAATGTATTCAAATTGTTTCATTTTATGACGACATAACAACAAACGAAGATGAAATTTACCCAGAACATAGTGAAACTTGAAGAATCAAGTTCAGCATCAATAAGTATGCATACAAATGTATGCAATGCATTCAAAGGAAGAAATTAGATTGGAACAATGAAACGAATTCACACTGGAACTGTTTGAGGATTTGGAATAGGATACACAATAAATGTATATTTCTCATAAAGTTGCTTACTTACTTACTTACTTATGCACTTACTTACTTATTTACTTACTTACTTACTTATGCACTTACATAAGCCTGTCACTCCTAATGGAGCATAGGCCGCCGACCAACATTCCCCAACTTACAGTGCCCTGGGATTTCCTTTTCAGTTCTATCCAACTGCTGTTCATTCTTTTCATGTGTGCTACAAATTCTTGGCGTAATGTGCTCTTCGGACTTCCTATTTTGCTTTGACCTCGAGGATTCCAAGTGATGGTTTGTCTTGTGACGTGGTTGGATGATTTCCTTAGAGTGTTTCCTTTCGACCTTCAACATCTCTTTCTAATTTCTTCCTCAGATGGAATCCGTTTTGTTTTATTCCACACAGTAGGTTATTGTTGATGGTGTCTGATCAACGGATTGGAAGTATCATGTTGTGTATTCTCATGAAATTGATATATAATTATTATCGAAACTAAAATTTCAGGTGTACTTCAAAATAACTATAACTGTGTATCATTGTAGGATAGAAAACAAATTGTTTTTTTTTATTTGTAAGAAAATTAAGCTAACACTGTGGTGCAAGCTACTTATAAGTAGTATGTGACGTGAGTGTGAACGTAATGTGTGGCAGCAGAAGATAGGTGGGGAAGATCAAGAAAGGAAGAGTTAGAACACAATGGAATTTGTATGAAACGCATGAATAGTGACAATGGATTGATGTTTTGCAACAGGAACAGTCCAGTTCGATATGATGAACTGATATTTTGCAAATTAACGATTTACGATATGGTTTTCCTATTTTACTGAGTAACTCTGTAATTTTCATTAAATACAATTCGGTTGCCCCACCTGTGTTCCCCTTCACTACAACACAATCTGATTTAACAAGTGTTTATTTTTTCTAATTGTAACAGGTATTATCGTCTAATTATTCAGTGAATTTTTTTTAAAAAATTTGATTAGTGAATGAGGAAAATCATCCTAAAAAAGCGTATACTCAGCATTAAAGATTAGTTTTTTATGAATTGAATTTTAGTTCAAGAACAACTGAAAACTTAATATGAAGTTTTCATGCATGAATGAGTAGAACACAGCTGAAAAGTTGAATTTTTATGTCTCATAATGCATTCATTTAACTCATTCACTAAGTATAGCTTAGTATGCTTAGCTTCAAATCACACTCAAAATATAAGGGTTTCTTGTTTGCTCAAACGAAAGTAGCGGTGTAGTGAAGGAGAACACAGGTGAGGGCAACCGAATTGTATTTGTCGCAAATTACAGAGCTACTTAGTAAAATAGGAAAACCATATTGTAAACAGTTAATTTGGAAATCTTCAATCCATCATCAATCCATTGACTGACATTTCCCTATTCATGTGTTTCATACAAATTCCATTGTGTTCCCACTCTTCCTTTCTTGATCTTCCCCACCTATCTTCTGCTGCCAGACATTAGGTTGACACTCACGTCATATACTACTTATAAGTAGCACGCACCACAGCGGGAGTGAAGCCTGCACCTGAATTCTAGTGGCAGAAAGTATAACATCTTAATTATTGAACCATTAGGTTAGTACTCAACAAGTTATTATTATAGAATTATGGAGATTATTGTTTACTACTGAAATCATACATAACCCAGTGGTTTAGAGGTTAGTCGTTTACGGTAAAGACCGAAAGTCCTGTGTTTAAATCCTACGAGTAGCATAACTCATGGACGCAGACTGCTGATGAACCCTATAGGAAGATGAAACGGCTGTCCAATGTTTACAGGTTTCTAAATGGTGGTCTAACGATGATTGGTTGATTGATTGATTCATAATTTCAGTAATAATCAATAATTAGTATGTTCAATTTACATTGTTATTTTTCATAAACTGTAAAACTATCAATCAATATTATTTGGCATAAATATTTCAATTTCAGCATGTTTGTTCTCTTTACAATAAATGAACTTGCATTTCGGGGTTGTGAAGATTGTTAAGTTTTTTTTAAAAACCATGAATTGATCAATGTTAGACCACCATTAGAAACCTGGAAGCACTGGACGGCCGTTTCGTCCTGGTATGGGACTCCTCAGCAGTGCGCATCCGTGACTCCTGTACCCCGCAGGATTTGAATCCAGGACCTTAGGTAGTGATGGCGAACGCCTTACCATCGGACCAACGAGCCGGTATCTTACTGTCTGAGTTCTAGTGGGAAGACGTAACTAGCGAAGTTCAACCTGTTCGGGTGTAGACAGTAACTACAGAACTCTGTGAATTGATCAAGTTAGACATTAACACCGTTACATGCCGGCTTAATGGTCCGATGGTTAGACCTTCGCCTTCAATGTCGAAGGTCCTGGGTTCGAAGACCACGGGGTGCAGGAGTCGTGGATGCGCACTGCTGAGAAGTCCCATACCAGGACGAAACGGCCGTCTTTCAGTGCTTCCAGGTTTCTAATGGTGGTCTAACATTGATCGATTCATGGTTTCAAAAAAATTAATGAACTGATGATTCTAAGTGGGTTTGATTTTTCAAAAATTAAATATGAACCATGTTTGTTTGCTTAACATTTCAAACAAGAGATGATTGTTATGGTATTCTAATAATCTGTGTAATGAATATCATCATTATCATAAACATGATCTTTGTCTGTTAGAGCTGAAATTCATTTCTCTTAACTTTCGGTTGAGTTTTATTTTTCTATGTTAAATTGTTTCTACATTAGAAATGATTAGGAATGATGTGGGATCAAATGTTGATTCGTAGATGTTTATCTGTTTGTTAATTTTTGTAAATCATTGCGTCATAATGGTCAAAATCTAAACTTTTCATCATAACAATCAATTACGCAATCAATATTAAATTGATGAATGATTGAGCACGTTTACACATTTGTTTTTAATACAAACAAAGTTTACATGATGAGATTATTATTATTTTTTTAATCTGTAGATAGTGTTCATCATGAATTCGATGTTAATCTAGCGATCTAATTGTTAAGAACCCGCTAAATGAGCTTTAAGCTGTAACTATTCGATCTGTAGATGACGAGTCGTACATATATGTGGTTAAGGAGTTACATTACTTGCTTACTTACTTACGCCTGTTACCCCCCAATGGAGCATTGGCCGCTCACCAGTTTTCTCCAACCAACTCTGTCCTGAGCTTCCCTTTCCAGTTCTGTCCAATGTTTGTTCATTCTTCTCATATCTTTCTCTATTTCTTGGCGTAATGTGTTTCTTGGCCTTACCGTATTCCTTTAACCTTGAGGGTTCCATGTGAGGGTTTGTCTTGTGACGCGGTTGGGTGCTTTTCGTAGTGTGTGTCCTATCCACTTCCACCACTTCTTTCTGATTTCCTCCTCCACTGGAATCTGGTTTGTTCTATCCCAAAGTAAGTTGTCGCTGATGGTTTTGGCTGTGAGGAGTTACATAGTGAGACAAAACAGCTGTTCAGTAAGAAAGCATATTATTACTTAACAGACTAAAGTGCTGTGTAAAGGCGTGTGTAGGCAGTAACTATCAAAAACAAACGGGTGAGATCACGCAAAATCTCTAGATCAATCAGAGTTAGAAATTAACACCATTTGATGCTGGCCTAGAGGTCCAAAGGTTAGGCGTTTGCTCGCAACACCGAAGATTGTAGGGTTTGAATCCTGCTAGTAGCAGGAGTCGTGGATGCCCAATGCTACTGATGAGTCCCATACCAGAATAAAACGGCTGTCCAGTGACTTTAGGTTTCTAATCTTGGTCTAACAATAAGTGATTTCAGTGTGTAAAAACACTAATCTCCAGAACTCTAATTGGAAGTTCACTAATTCAAATTAGTAAGAAAATTAAATTTAAAAAGTTTACTTTGGCCTATTTAAGTCTAAATATTTTGAGTATGACGATATATTATTGTTAACAATTGTAAGGCTTTATCCAAGAAATATAGATTTTACAGTAATCGCTTTAAACAACAAACTTCATTTGCCAAGTTACTGCCATAAACTAGCAACAAAGTTTACAAAGTCACAAACTTCATTTCACTTCATATCATCTTGCATTTTCATGTTTCCATTTCCATTTCACATTCAGATCCCATGTATTCTTCAAGAAGAGTCATTCAATCAAAATCAATCACAAACGACCAGTTTAACCATATCAGCTGAAATGAAATTTTTACCGAATGATTCTTATGATCATACTAATACTACTAGTACTACTACTACTACTAATAATAATAAATCAATGTTAATGATCCATTCCACAGTATCTTCATCATCGCCATCCTCCTCCTCATCTCCATCATTATCATTCAACAGGGCGAAATCTTTAACGCCCACATTTCACGATGATGCAATTCGTATCACTTTTAATGATTTCCTACAAAATTCTCATGAATATCAGATAAAAGAGATTGACATGTTCAATAAATTGTATCAAGCGGATTCATCGAATATTGTTAATCATAATAACAATAATAATGACAATCAGTGTGTTGAAGATACTGATGACGATAATCCTGTCGGCGGTCATCATCATCATCATGATCGTAATGATCATGATGGCGATGGCGATGAGGATGATGGCGACGAGGATAATGTGGAACAAACTAAAGATTATCATCCAACTGAACATTCAACAGAACAATCATATTCTCAATTGAATATTTATAAACATTCAATCAGTCAATGTGATTATGAAAATAATGATTGTGATACAGTGTGTTTAAATGAAATCACTGGTAACAATCCACATCACCAACAGCGGCATCAGCATCATCGTCATTCTGAGCATCAGGCGACTTTTTATTCACCCACTCATGACTCCACGGATATGATGATGCCATTAATGAAAAAATCTCGACTTAGTTCATTAACAGATCAAACAAATCCATCTCAATCACATCATATAAATGAGACAATTACATCTGTATGTACGCCGATTGTAACCACAACAGGACCACCACCAACAACAACAACCTCAATAGACTTTGGAATCACTACTGCCATGTTATCAAATGAAAATAATCCCGCAAAATTATGTAGACAAGAAAATGAATTTCTCGTCAATCATATCAATGATAATCAAATTCATTTAGAAAATAATATGAATTATAAATTTACAGGATTTCCACCTTGTTTTCAATATCCTCATCAATATCATATAAATTATCAAAGTAGTAATAATAGTAATAATAATTGTACCACCACTATGGATCAACATTTATCTTCTTATCCCCTAAACAATTTACAATCCAATCATCATGATAAAAATTACACAACATGTCACAACATGCCACCGTTACAAAATTATTTTCCTTCATTTGCTTATAATAATCGTTTTGCATGTTATCCTAATGATGGTATACATGAAAAAATTATTCATGATAATAATCATTCAAAACTAACTGATTCATTTCATTTAAACAATGAACGCGGAGCGTTACATCATTCACTATTGAATCGAGACAATATTGTAGAATATTTGCATAAATCCAATGGGAATACAGCAGCAGTATTATCGAATAATAATAATAGTGGTTTACTGATTGCACATAGAAATTCACCTCATACTAATAATAATAATAGCGTTACAACTAGTGAAGAAAAGTTATCGAACAATCGACATATGATACCTTCATTGCATCCACCGACTCTTACTACACCACTCAATGGAAATAATCATAATAATCCTATGATATTTCCACCTGCAATAACTAATTTACCAGCAGTAAATCATACCAATTCATTGACAATGTCATCGTATACAAGAAATTCAAATGATTGTGATGATAATTTGCCGAAAATGAACAATTTAAATTGGACATCGAACAATAATACATTATCTCATTCTTATAGAGGACAAACAGGGTAAATTATCATTATTATTGTTATTATTAAATATGTAATTATGCACTTTCCAGGTATAAATAAATGTTTATGATATTTTATGTATATCTTTCATAATTATGCATAATAAACAGTAATGTATAATGTTGCCATAAAAAAATTGTTCATAAACTTTGAATTCAAAAAGGTAACCATTCTATAATAATAATAAATTTAAAAGATTTCTAGAGAATTTTTGTGAAACTGATTGTTGAACAGAATCATATTTTCTTTCAAATAATAATTTGCATTGAATTCACAAATCAATCAATGTTAGATCACAATTAGAAACGTGGAAACTGTGGACAGCCAATTCGTGATAGTATGGAAGTAATCAGTAGTGGGCATCCACTAACTTTGCATGCGAAATCGAAACCAGGACTCTCATTGTTGTGCGCGAAAGTCTAGTCTATTGAAGAATGAACTGGCATCCAACTGTGCTAATGTCTAACTTCAACCAGGCAACCTCAGCCGTTGTCTTTGGTAGTTACTGTCTTACACACGGCTCGGTTGAACTCCACTGGTTACGGCTTCTAATTGAGGCTCGAAGAATTTCCTAACGAAGGTAGTCACTAGTGAGCACATTTTTATGATTCTCATTATGCACAATGAGTGAGGTTGCCCATTACCTAGGATTGATTTACAATAAAACCGTTGGATTCCGGTTCACGTTCAAGACTGACAGTCCTTGGTTCGATTCCGATATGTAGGGGATGCGCATTACTGATGAGTCTCATACCAGGACAAGACGGCTGTCCAGTGCTTACAGGTTTCCAATGGTGGTCTAACAATGATTAATTCATGTTTTCAATGAAACTCAACAATCTCTATAACTCTTTAATGAAAATAATGATTTATCATGACAAATTAATTTGACATGTTTATCCTTATTCGTCTATTGATATGAAGTCAAATATAGCATGGATTTATGAAGGCTATTGAAGATATCAAAATTTAGTTTCATAAACAATTTCTCAAACATTTTACATGATTGAATGAACTAATCTATTCTATGATAGATTACCAATATCAACAAATTCACTTGAACAGGTAATAGGAGAATTACAAATATGTTATTATTTTCAATCATGATGATTTAACAATGAAGAAGAAGTTTTTAGTTATTCGTCAATAGAAAATTGAATGAAATTAGTTCAGTCTAATATAAAATTTGACTTACTTCAAATGTGATATTGATTTTTGATATTGATTTCAGTGGTATATTGCATAATAACTATTATAGTTTAGAAAGCACATTACCTTTCGCCTGTTTCCTCAAGTGCAGCATAGGCCGTTGACTAGAACTCTCCAACTTATTCTATCCTGAGCCTTCCATTCTAGTTTCGTCCAAATATTGTTCATTTTTCGCATGTCTGTCTTCATTTCTCGGCGTAATGTATTCTTTGGTCTTCCTCTTTTCATTTGGCCTCGAAGATTCCACGCGAGTGCTTGTTTTCCATTTCTAGTGCTTCTTACTGGTTTCTTCCTCCCCTGGAATCTGATTTGTTCTCTCCCATAGGAGGTAGTTACTGATAATGTTCTATATGTATTACCATAATTCAAGACATTACCGGAGAATTTTTAAATCTCTTTTTTGGGGTAGAGTTTTAGAGCTTTGTGTTTTCTCCACATTCGAAATCATGTTAGACCACCATTAGAAACCTGAAAGCACTGGACAGCCGTTACGTCCTAGTATGATTTCGAATGTGTAAAAATCACAAACCTCGAAAACTCTGCCCCGAAATATAGTAACAGTGTTCACTAGTGACTGGCTTCGTGAGGAAATTCTCGGAGTTCTAGTTGAGAAGACGTGACCAATGGAATTCAACCCTGTCAGGTGTAGGCAGTAACTACCAAAGACAAATGGGTGAGGTCGCGGAAAATCCCTAGATCAATTAGAGTTAGACATTAACACCGTTGGATGCCGGCCCAGTGGTCCGATGGTTAGGCGTTCGCGCACAATACCGAAGGTTTTGGGTTCGAATCCTGCGAGGTGCAGGAGTCGTGGATGTGCACTGTTGATGAGTCCCATACTAGGACGAAACGGCCGCACTTTCAGTGCTTCCGGGTTTCAAATGGTGGTCTAACAATGATTGATCGATGATTTCGACTGTGTGAAAAATTCACTTTTTTTTCAAACTCGACATTCAATTTTCATGCAATTTTCC